GTGAGGTACTTGAGGTATCGTTTTGAAAAAGGGATTTGGGAGGTTAATGTCAAGCGTTGGTCATCTACAATCTCAAGTCAGTAAATGATATCGGATGGACGAACAGGGCTCACTTTTGGTGATCTTGACTTTGTCTCCTAGGTTACCCGCTTTTCCATCCACCTTGATATGATCGTGCAAGAACTTCTCAAACCCAGCAGTGTCGAAAATTTGGTCGGCTGCTGGCCTCGAGTAGTCAATGATGAATTTGTGTTTGGGGGCGACCTTTCCACCCTTGCCAGTTGCTGGCTTGGCTTGTTTTGTGGCAGCTTTGGACTATTGTGATGAGGAGATCAGCATTGGTTCATTTGACCAGGAGAAGGCGAGTGGACGAAAATGTGATGGGTAGGACATTTCTCTGCCTCTCACCCGCACGAGACTGTCTCGCGCCTACTGAGAAGGGGACTCAGCAAAGCGAATTAATAACCGACCATCTTGAATTATTTATTCGGAAATCCGAAGGAGGAGAAAGGAGAGGTCGACCGAATGTAAGGGAGGGAGGATCGGTTTGTTTGTCACACTTGTTTGTCCGACCTTGGCTAGCCACCTCCGACGACTATGGCACTGTCAGCCCCTATCTCCACACGCTCGCAGCACTCTCATAACCGAACTTTACCTGGGACACTCTGATAGGAAGACCCACCAAATTCTGGTCAGACCCTAGGCCAGCTTACTACCAGTCCGGGAGGAGAATGCGCTCCGAATGACGGGAGATTAATGATAATTTTAATTATCTAGATACCCTCAATTTGATAGTTTGTCTGATAACTATCGAAACCTTTTTAAAGAAAGGCCCAAAGGTGGTCAAGCCGATCCTGCCGAGAATGAAATTTGTTGGACCTCTCCTCAGCCCCTTCCTGGGCATATAGACGACTGCTCTGCCTGGAAAGAAATATTTATTGGTCAAATAGATCGAGGAAATTTTCCTCGGATACTATCTTCATATGAATCTTATAGAAGATCCGAACCCAACGCTAGTTACCCCAACGCCACTCAATTTGACACGACCGGGCACACCTAGTAAAGCAAAGTCTATCGGAACAGAA